AAAAGGATGTCTGCATTGCTTTTATTATAAAGAAGATATAATTAATTTTCTCATTGTTTTATTATATTTTTACTTATTTATATTTCTTTTACATCAAAGGTATCACATTTTATATTGAATATATGTTTTATTTTACAATATGTATCAAGAGTAAAACAAACTTTGAAAATAATATTTTTTAACAGGTTCTTGCTGACAGCAAAACATAATTTTAAGATTGAATGCAGGTTTTTCTTGGATACTGCAAAATGTTTTTGATTTTTTTTTTATTCTTTATATTCTGCATTCTCCATTCTCTCAAGTTAAATGTGTAATTTTGCACAATGTACAGCACTGAAGAATTACGTGTATCTTTATAAAGACATGATAACAAAAGCTTTTCTACATCAGCTTTCTTTATGTCATTTAAAAAGCACAATTTTCCCAATTTATGACATGGATAGTTACCATCTATAGTATTTCTTAAAAAAAAAACTACAGATTGTAAATTGTTCATTCATCAGTAAAAAATAATTTATTACTGTCATATAGAAATGATAAAACAAAAACATAAAATAATTGAGCATGTTACATTTTATAGAATTTTATTTTCACTTACACTTAAAACTGCATAAACTATTTTCAAAAGAGGACATTTTACTGTTGTAAAGTCAATTGCCTTGAGTACTTTTTACTGGCTGTAATTCACTGTGTAGCCATCATGTGTTTCTTAGTCTGTTAGCCAAGAGAAGGTCCATTCACTTCCTTATCATCGCCCCATCTGTCAGGCTGGTGACTAATTATGCCAGACCTGTCTGCAACAGCGTGTGAATGTAAATTATGAAAAATTTCAGATGGGAAATGAAAAGAAGAACACAAACAATAAATGGATGGAAAGAAACAATTAGGCGCTAACCATTTGCCTGTTTGTTTTTTATTTCATCAATAAATTGTTGGATAGCAGATGTTTCAAGCACCAATTAGTTTAAACCATTTTCTTTCCAGAAAAAAGAACCTACTAACTTTTCCTCCATGGTTTTCGAGATGTCCCTATATTGTCTATATTGAAATCAAACAATATTTAAATAACCAAAGGGTAGGGTAGTGCACAATTTCTGCCTGCTACCTCACCTTTATTTTGCATGATGTGTGTGTGTTGAGGTGTCAGGTGGCAGAGACAACAGCATACAACACAGCATACAAACCCTGTCTTATACTAATGGACCAAGGGTCCATTGACAGCTGTCACCTATAGATACATATTGAATACCTCATTTCAAAATCATGGGGGTTAATATGGCATTGGTTCCTTTTTTGATGCACTAACATCTTCATAACGTCTTCAGTTTTCAATGATACATAGCAGTGCGGATTTGTTTAAATTTACTCCACGGCTTCAGTTGTCCCTGTGGAAGAAGCACTATTGTGCATCACCATATGGCAGTCTGATGGATGACTTTTGGAGTTTGGATACAAGCCCTTACTTAGTCCAGAGTGTACCCAGCTCTCGGTTATTAGTCTTTCCAAAGACTTAAAAAGTTTGATAAAGTACTTTGATAAAGTTTGATAAAGAGACTGTGCCGAAAACCTAGCAGCCTGTATACCTCAACTTGGATGGGTGCAATGGGTACTCCGCTGCAGGATTAGATTGGATCTCCTTGGTGCCTAAGGAGTATAACTGATTATTTATTTATAGGTCATGATTGCAGTTCCATTAGAGAAACTTGTAATTCTATTGCCATTAATGTCTTGGTAATGTTAATAAATACAGCTAGTTGTGACTTTTACTCTCCTGTTAAATTTTGTTTTATTTTATTATAAGGTGAATTTGTTGGGGGAAATTGTTGCTTGGTGGTTGGTGGTGAGTTTTTTTTAAGGGTTATTAAACACAGGGACATTAATCTTTTTGCATTGTGTTTCAACTTTCTGTCAGTTATACTGCTGGTAATATCTTCAGGGTCCTTGCTAATTCCTATAAACTGGTTATATGACCATTTTTATATATCTATTTTTGTCACACCTACTGTGTATAAGAAAATTTTAATTTTCCTTTTAAGCAAACATTTAAGACCCTGTGAGAAATACTGCATGTTCATTAATTTGTGAACTAATGAATGAAACAAAGATTATGTACATTTACATTCTGTAAAATTGTTTTTTTATATGTTGAAGTCCTGGGTCCCATGGTTTTTTGATCAAAAGGAACTGTAACCGCAGGTGGTTCCCTTATTTACCACTATAATGTCTTAAAGCATAGAACTTAGTAGGGCTAACTATACAGATATCTCAGCCATAATTTTATATAGTTAGTGTAAGAGATCCTCTATTTAAAATATATAAATAATTGAGAATACAATATAAAATAAGGGTTGTCTTGGAAGCAATAAAGTTTTGTCTTTTAGATATTTATTATATAAAAATATAAATATATAAAATCCATTATAGCAGAGTTTATAAGATTAAATTAAATGCTTGAAAATATCATTAATAGGGTAACATACCCTTCTGAACATGCCATCATGTCAGCCTCTCATTTTAAGATGGAGCAGCGTCTGTCTCCAAGTCTCTCCTCTGTGTCTTAACATTTAAAAGTACACCTATTTATACCTTAGGTGTCTCCATTTTAGGGTTACCGTAGTTCATATATGAAAAAGTAACACTTCTTTTACTTTTATTCATTTTAGGACCTCCCTTAAATTGGCAAACATACAAGACCATAACTAAAGGGTGTATACGTCATGGAAATTTTCCTGACTTAGTTCAAGATGGCATTTTAAAGTCTGGACATCCTTATCTACTTAAGGTTACCACAGTATATTGTGTACTGAAAGAGTCGTAGCATAGCCTTGAAGCTTGTTTATGCATTATTGTTATTGTAATTAGTCTGGGACAAAATGGCGGAAACATATTATGCACTGAGGTTATTGCTTAAAGAAACAGACATGAAAAACAATATGTTCCATTTCTAACACCTTGTCAGTTTGCAATATCTCTTAAAGACAAAGTACACAGTTTAAGAAATACAACATTTCATTCTAAAACTTGCAATATTTGCATTTGCCCATAACAGAACTGGGCAGTGAAGGGGTTAAATGCGAGTCAGCAGGTGAAACATTTTATATAAGTTTTATTGATTTCTTCATTGTTATTATTTATGACCTTGTCAGTTACAGAGCATTGGCCTGAAATGTACACAGATTTTAGCTACATTAATATCAAATAAATTGCAAAGTAAAATGTGGAATTTAGCAGAATGGCCAATCCTCTGCCAAATGAACTGACATACGAAAAAGCAGGTCAGAAGCTAGCCTAACGACTGTCATGCATTATTCTTTACAAATGCAGTTATTAATTATGCAATTTCAACATGGTCACATTATAGCAAAGAAATAACACAAGAGATTTTCTAATCCTCATTTCGTTAGAATCGGGACCCATATTGATTTCTTACAAAGCTAAGCATAAAAAAATGATTGTAAATTAACAATATTTCATTTTCAAGTTCTGCTTAAAGGGACACTCCACACACCTAAAGCAATTTTAGCTTGTGTGAAGAGTGTGTCTTCTTTTTTATTTTATACAAAGGGCAGATTTAAAAAAACATTTATAAATTAACCTTGTTACACCCACCTCATTGTCAATCAGATAACCAGTCCTGTTACTTCCTGATTGTTTAGCTCTGTGGAGCTAAACTTAATAGTCAGACACAGACAGTCTGTTTACACTGGGAATACAAGAGATCTATAGCATTTCCGAGCTGTTTTTACATATAACCCTAATGAAAACAGCTGGTTGAGTGATGTCGTAGAGTGGAGGGCGCACGCATCCTAAGGCAGGGAGACGGTGTCTCCACGAAGGGAAGAATGCGAACACATGAGAGCAACAGATGCCAGCAAACTCAGCCAGAGTAAAGAGAAAGGGATAAACAAAGTTGACAGACCCAATATATTATATTGCATATAAGGCCAGCGGTGGCTGCCATTAAATAGAATGCTTTACCCCTTCATGAAGTCTTGGCTCATGTTTGGGGGATTGGAGAACTACATACACTCTGGGGATTGCTATGTCACAATACTCCCCTGAGTATAATCACTAGCTCTTATAAGAGCTGTTCTTGCTACGCTCTCTGGACTAGGAGAGGCCTACCCACTGGAAGCTGGATCCTGATTTTGGGTCCAGGGTGGGTGGAGAACGGCAAGACCGTGGGGTTTACGGTGTTTATGGTGTTCTAGTGCAGTGCTTATGGTACTCGCAAGTACTAGGAAGCAGCGATTTATGGAAGTACCTGGTCGGGGAGCCATGTGTCCGTCACATTTTATGTGACGAAAGTAACCTCGTCACTGGGGGAAAGTTAACTAATCAACTTGAATCCCTGCTTCAATCAAGCCATAATTGGACAAAGTATATTTATTTTTTCATTTATTTTTTTTATTTTTTTTCTCTCTTTTACTCTAAGTTATTTTTCTTTTTTTTCTGAGTGAATCCGTGCAATTCTGGAGGAAAGAAAGTGTGAATAGAAAAAATATCACAAAGCTTTGAAATTAATGTAAATATGTAGATTAAGAAAGCCAAGCTAAATAAAGACCTGAATAGGCTAAATATTTGCTTCAATTAGGTGGATAAAAAAAAGAATAAAAAGGAAAAAGGTTAAGATCTTAGAACTACTAATCAACTATTACTCAAAGAACTGGATAGCTTAACACAGCTGTTCAAAATGACAACTAAATTCTCAGAGAAAATTCCTACAAAAAAGGACTAAAGTCCTTTTTTTTCCAATAAAGGTTTTTCCTTCAATCATCAAAGGATAAAAAAAACAGATAATACTTCTCTCTCCTACAAGGATGGAAGATTCATCTAAAAAATTTCCTTAACAAAATGAGAATTACATCACAACTGACTTCCTGAAGATTTGCTTATAGACACAACTAGAGGCAATCACACATAAATATCAATAGAAATGAAAAGTCAAGAAAAATATCTCTCTACCGAGGGCAGAACTAACCAGCGAGTAGGCGAATCGCATGGCGCCTGAGCTCCCGCTCATACACACCGAAACCAAGCATACTACAGCGGTTTGGCGATGCAACAACTTACCAAAGGCCTTCTACTGCTCTCGGCTACAATGGGGAAACACCCCAAGAAATCTCGGGGGCTCAGTGAGGGGCAGAACTGGGATATCGGGCAGCTCCTATCCCAGCCGAATAGGACAAAAATGGCGGACATCCTCCATGCCTCCACCCCGGACTCACTACCAGCTTCGGAAGAGGAGGAATGAGAGCTGGAGGAGGCTATACCTCCACCGCGGCAGAGCAAAGTGCCACCTGCACGACGGCCAGAACCACTCCTGGCACAAAAGTAGACCTGAGCTCCATGGTCACGGAGCTCAAGAACTTCTTTGCATCCAAAATGGTGTGCCTGAAAGAGGATCTGAGCACTCTGACAAGACACATCAGTGCCACGGAAGAAGTTGTACATGACCTGAGGTTCAAGCAAGACTCAACCATGGCGCAGCTACAAAAGGTACAGCTCAGATGTGCACAACTAAGTGCCAAGATGCCACACCTCGAAGATACAACGAGACAACACAACCTGAAGGTGAGAGGGGTCCTTCACACTATTGACCCAGCGGAATTGCTACAGTTCATGAGGAGACTGATCTCTGCAGCTCTGCCACCTAAGCAGGCCAAAAGCCTATTCCTAGATGGAATGTACCGTCTGCCTGGGCAAACCTCACAGCAAATCCCCCATATCTAGGGATGTCATCATGAGATTTAGGTCCAGAGGAGACAAGGAAGCATTCCAAAAAGCAACCATGGACAAAACACCTTTTATTTTTGAGGAACACTCTCTAAGTTTCTTCCAGGACTTAAGCCGCCCCACACTGCAATGGCAGGTCACCTTAAAGGGAGTGACGATGAAGGTATGGGCAGCAGCAATACCCTATAAATGGAGTTACCCACGGGTTCTGATAGCCAAACACAATGGCCAACGATTCAGGCTCACAGCAGCAACAGAAGCAGCCCCGTTTCTGCGCTCAGTAGGACTGGAAGCCACCAACACCTCAAGCACCACAGCCAGGCCCACTCACCACTGGGACGTTGCCAATGTCACAGTATTCATCCCTGCTGGGTCTTCTGCTCTGGGCTGAAGATAGCAAGTGCCGCCAAGATACTTGCCTAATCCACTGTTTGTCTGGTTAAATACATATGATTGCTAGAATTGTTAACCGTTTTTCTTTTCCTTAGTTTACACAATCCTGGATCTTACAAGGGAGCCATTGGTAAACTCGAACTACCTTTCCTGTCAAAGGGAGGACCAAAGGTAAGCCATCTTGACCCATGTTTAGGCGTTAACAAATCCCCCCTCCACACCAGAGTTCTGAGGTTAACAAACTTATTAACTAAAATCAGCACTCCACCGTGCTTATGACTATCCACACACCATGCCTGAACGTCACACCGGGTATTCTAATAACCAGGATAGCATAACATCTCTGCCCCCTTAGTTCCCTTTCAACCCTACACGGGCAGTAACTGACAAAGGCCATTCAGCAAAACTCTAGCTTCAAACATTGCGGGGAATAGAGAGGGTAGGGTGCGGCTTACCAAGTCATGGGTTTTCCCAGCGCGGACACACCACATATAACCTATGTCCCCACATATAAAAAATTTCGTACCTTCACAATCTCATTTTACTATGCTGCCATGATTCCTGACGTACTATATTTACCATACTCTTGTAATCATGCCATGGCGCTTTACCCTATTGTTAATTGTTGTCGCTGTCAACAGTTTCTATTTGTGCAATGCTTATGCCTCAATAAAAATATAAAAATATATATAAAAAAAAATATATATATATATATCTCTACCAGATTACAAGTAAATGAAGAGAAAATTATTAATTTAGAATATCAAGAAAACAGACTGATAGAACAAAATTTACATTTGACAAATTAATTAAGCAATATGGAATCAAAGCTGGGGGATTTAGAAGATCTTACAAGACGAAACAATTTAAGATCACGCAAGAAAAGATCCCAGTCTTTTTAGGAAAGCTATGGATAGCAATGGATATAGATGTAACCAAATATAACACTAACGTGGAAAGATATCATCGCTTATATAAACCAAAAGAAATATCTAAGAAACATCCAAGAGATATTATAATACATTTTCAATCTTTTCAATTTAAAGAAAATATTTTCTGTGCCAGCTGTTCCAAGATTGTCAAAGAAGACGAATTTAAACGTATTATCATTTATCAAGACCTTACTTTTTATACCAGATCACAGCGAAAAAGATTTGTTTCTGTAAAAAATATTCTGCGCAAACATAATATAAAATACTCATGGGGCTATCCAAATAAACTCAAGATTATAACCGATGGCCAGATGGAAACATTTGAGTCTATACAACAAGTCCAGAATTGGATGAAAACAAAAAACATAAACAGCGAGATTCCTACTTAAACCCTTAAGGACACAGCTTCAGAAACTGGGCATACCCTTAAGGACACAAGCAATTTTTGCATTTTTTGCTGTTTGTTTTCAACTGCAATTTGCATCTCTCTCATTTATTGTACCAACACATATTATATACCGTTTTTTAGACAATTTGCTAACTTTAATTTGATGTGACATATACATATATAAATTCTTATTTATTACAAAAAAAATGCAAAATAATGGGGGGAAAACAAAAAAAAAATTTTTTTCACCAAGTTTTGGCAATAATAACGTGCATAATATGTCCAGCTTAGGAAAAGTAATTCAAAATCAATTAATTTATCTTGATTTATAAAGTACATAATATGTGTAGGATTTCAGTTTATTTTGAAAGTTACAGGTCACAAACTACAAGGTCTAAAATAAAATTTCAAGTGAAACAATTTTAGAAGTTGGTATGTTTGTCTTGGAAGTTTAATACCCATTACAGAAAACAAAATTGCCACACTAAAGTACATATTTATATAAAATAGACATCACAGGCTATTTACCTACGGTTATTTTGACACTTTTTACGTAGCCATTTCACCGCCAATCTCTGCTAAATATTGGAGTAAATTTATGTTTTTTCTCTATTTTGGCATATACACATATGACAAGGTTTTTGTAATGTATATTTCATAAAGCTAGTGTGTGCTATCCCTGTACAGGACCCCATATTGTGTTCAGCTACATCTGCTGAGTACAACGATACCCCAATTGTATACCTTTGCCCCTATTCTGTGAAGCTACATTGCCATATAGGAGACCATGCTATTTCAGTTTCTATAGTTGGAATTTTCAATGATTGTCATAAGTCTGATATTGTGGCATTATAGGCATTTGAATGTTCAAATAACCCCACAAAGGCCTTCCATTTGAGAAAGCAGACACTCCAGGGTATCTTATTAGACATATATTATACCTTAACTTGCCACCATTTTTAACCAATTTATTTCAAATTATGTGGTGAGAAATGTTGCATTATCACTGGGTATTTCGTATATTTGTTAAGTGCCACTGTCATAAATTCCCCCTAAGAATGCTTAGTTACCTCTTTTGAGTAAAACAATAAGCCCAATGTATGACCTAGACACTATTTTGTGAAGTTACAGTGCTGTAAAAGAGACGTGACAAGTTCAGGATTTTAAGTGTGAATTTAGACGGAGGGTTTTAATAGATATGGAATTCTATTTTGAAATATGTAAGCAGGCTGCTTTTTCCAACTACCCCAAAAAAGGCATACTAATTCTTAAAGAAGACATCTCAGGGTAATTCAAAAGGCATATTTTGAACCTTAGCCTGAAATCATTTTTCCCCTAGCTTGTACCAAGCGTAGTAGTAATAAGCATTTTTCTGCCTTTTTGACACACTCAGTGAGTTTGTACTGTATATTTTGCAAACCTTATGTATGCTACGGGTCTATAATACTTCATATGTTGCTCAGCTATGTCATCTGAGCACAGCAATACCCCATATGTACCATTGCCAAGTATATGTGACGTTAAAGGCGTTGAGACACAGCCATTTAAGGTTTTTTTCAAACTGAGAATTTTTATGCTGGGTCCATACCCCACTTTGGAGTTTTTTTAGTAGGTTAATTATTCCAACTACAAAACAATAATATACACGCTGTGAAAGACAAATACGTAGCTCTAAAACACCTAAAAAAGTGGTATCCCTTACACCACTAAAAACATAATACAATACATATAACCAAATAGAAAAAGTACAGATTCACCCACTTGTGGATAGAACACACTTATAGTGGGTAATAATTAGAAAACTAAATAATTACCCTTGAACTAAATGTATTGCAGATTAGGACTCCTCCAGGTCCTCAACAAATATGAACAAAAATAGGGATAAATCTACAATACAATAATAACAGAAAAAGACATAGCATAATACTGTTGATGGAAAAAGAAAGAGTGGAAATATAGATGATAATTCACACTCACAAACCAAAATTGATTGTAGGCATATCTTATAGAACGATGAATATCTCAGGATAAGTGGAACGTCAGGATGTACATAGAAGGAAATAAAACAGCATAATAGTGCAGAGTATCTTGATAAGAAAATACACTTTAATAATAAGGCACACTTACAATATTGTAGTGGCAAACAGGCATATATGAAACCACCGGTCTTGGGATCATAGGATGAATCACAGGATCAACAGGATCAAATATAACCAGCAGGTCCAAATAAAATAAAATAAAACAACCTGATAAGATAATAAAAAACTCTAAACACTATAAATGCTATAACAAAGCCCTACGCGTTTCGTTCAAACGTCCTTGAACTTCCTCAGGGGCAAAAAAGTCCTTCTTTATGCAGGGCCCTGACGAAGGTGCATCTTTCTGCACCGAAACGAGGGATTTTCCTTGGCACAGTTGCAACAGCAGGAATGCTTGCTGGTTTTGGTACAACATTGTCCCTTGCAAAGAAGAAAAGCCCCTCTTGGTTTAATAAGTCGGACACTAGGGGAACTGGAACTTAGATGCTAGCTAGTACTCCAGACATCAGGAGAGATAACAAGCAATCAACAAAAGAAGGGTTTGGACAACCCCCTAATGGTCCAAGAGAACATACTTTTAGAGTCATATGACGGTATGACTCTATCCTTGTGAGTGCTTTTATTCTCATTTTTTATATGCTATATATTGTATAGATATACTACGCTATTTGCATATATTCTATTTTCCAGATTGTTCAAGACACTCCACAGCTCCACCTATAACTCTGTATGTATTATAATTATTCCAACTACCCCATAAAGGCATACCATTTCTTAAAGAAGACACCCTAGGGTATTTCAAAAGACATATTTTGAACTTTAGCGTGAAATCATCTTTTTTTTTTTTTTTACTTTTAAAAAGTTTTTTTTAGCTTTTAACAACTCATTCTAATATTTTAAAACTTTGTTTAAACTTTTCAAAAGTTTTTTTACTGTTAACCCCTAAGTAGCCTAACAGTAAATCCCCCAATTTCCCCACTAACTTCTACCCACCCTAGCTAAATAAATAAATGTTTTAAAAATATTTAAGTAACTAACTAAATAAATTTAACCCGTGAGGATCAAAAAAAAAGATAAAAGTTAACCCTCAGGGGGTAAAAGATAAAATCAGATCACATTGAAATACTGTTATCTGTATTTTGATCATTGTAGACAGTGATCAAAGGGTAGGGAAGGGGTTAAAGTTTATTTCAAAGAGGTGAGGGGGGGTGGGATTTTACTAACACTTTTTTTTTTTTACAGCTAAAGACAGATCATCACCGATCTGTCTCTCTGCACTTCACAGCTCACACGGAGCTGCAGGGAAACAGATTGGGGTTCACTGCAGCATGTGTGATCACTCTGACTCCTGGTCAGAGCGAGATCACATTGGCTGTGAAAGTGAAACTGCCCACAGTAGTGTGCCTCCGACATGGAGACACACTACAGGAACATTAACCCCATGATTTAGATGGAAACTTTCCGTTCTGCGTCCTTAAGGGGAGTGCTGCAATGACAGAAAATTTCCGTCCAGCGTCCTTAAGGAGTTAAACAGCTAAACGAAGTACACATGAAAACAAAAGAAAGGAAAATTAAAAGATCTACACTCAAAATTGAATATGGACTGTTTTAATGAAAAAAATTTAAGGTTCCTGAAAAG